GCTGCATCTGCTCAAATGAAATGGACATTATTGTCCAACACCTCCGTCGCCAGAAATCTGTTGTGGTTTCCATTGACTGTACCAATAGCCTGCCAGAAACTGTTGTGCCGCCTCCAACCGGTTCACCCCGCAACAAAATGAGAACCCCAAGATCTGCCTGACTGAGGGATTCGTATTATAGAAAAGCATAGCACTATAAATAGGTTGAAGGCAACTACTAACGCATCGATATTGGAGGTGCTAATTAATGCTAATTAACACAACTCACACGGTTCAAGTTCAGAGTTCAACTTGCCGCTGACCCCACATTGATTCGCGTTTTCATCTCTGCTTGCGTTCGACCTCTAATTGTAAATTGATCCAATGTTGCGCCACGGTGCTCGGCTGGTACGCTGACCGTAAGCTGGCCTCTTTAACACTCATATTAATAACTGAGATCCTGTTGTACGATGAAATCGTCGATACGGAGATTGCTCTACCAGATATGTCCATACTACGCCAAGACCGAGCTAGTAGGGGAGGTGTTATAATTATTTACCATAGCAGTGACCTGCATCTCAAAGTTGTTGACGACCCAGTGATTCAAATTGTGGACTCAGTTTGGTGCTGCCTGCAAATGAGACGTGATGACAGTTGTTTCATTCTTTGCGTAAACCCTCCTTGCATGTCCAATCTGGAAATAGGAAGTTGTCTATCTTCTGCTCTGAAACTCGCTCTGGTTCAGCTTAACGCTCACCTTCTCCATGTGGGAGACCTCAACCTGCACGCTCCAGTGATTCCGGTCTCCGCTGGTGAGCAGTTTAAGGCCAAACTGCAAGGACTAACTGCCGGCCTACCACTTCATAAACACGTTACTTCCTGTCTCGTAGCCCTCAGAGCGTCAAAAAAATGTCTGGGCAACGATCAGAGTCTGTTATTCGAAGATCAGGACATTTTATACTGTATAAAAATGGGAAATGGTTGTCTGCTGGCGTTACATACACACTGGCTGCTTCCTCTTCTTATGCGAAGTACGCGTTACTTTGCGTTTATTTGTCACACGCACGGCTTGTCTCCGTCCGACTCTGCTCCGTCTTCGTTCATTTGCCTTGATGGAAGGTTGGGTTCGGCAGCTCCGCTTTGGCTCCCTTGCTCCTTGTGCCTACCTCTTCTACATGTGGGTGTTCCGGCCAAACTAATCCGCCACTGAACCAAACGCGACCCCTCTTTCTGGCCTGTCGGTGTGTGCACCTAATTAGCCAAGTTGCCCAATGCAACTAACTTCCTTTCGTTCAAGTGGCTATCCGCTACCACTGTCGCCTAACTCATTTGTCGTAGCAGCTCCTGATTGACCCGCATAGCTACGGCCGACTCCTCAGCTTTGCTCAAGCAACTAGCTCTTACCACACTTCCCGTACCAGATTTAGAGCGGGAAATAACGTGGCTATTCCGAACCTCATCTTTACCAATGGGGAACTTTTGATCGACACAATAACAGTGGTCGCGCAACACTGCTTTTCCGCTACGTATGTTGCGCAGATCATTTCAACGGGGACGTCGGAGAGGTCCATATTTTATCCGACCGCATCAATGCAACTAGTTGGTCGTTTCCAGTAGAGCAACTCCTGAGGTCGCATGGGGGATTTCGTCAATCGGTTCGGCACTCTAGGAATCCTTTCACCTGAGACTGGTTTCTTTGTTTTAAGCAAGGAAAGTTCATACTGACTAGCAAGACGCGAAACCGTATGGCCGTGAATGATTCACTGGTGCTTTTCCAGACTAGCCTAAGCCTGCTGATGGGGAGTGACAAGGATGAATCAGCTGACTTACCAAAATCCTCACTACTACTCATCAGTACTATAACATATGTCCGTATAGCTTCTAAATCATATTTGGTACATAGGCACTATGCGGACAGTCCTAGCTCGTGCGGCTAGCCATTGTCCTCTGCACAGTTCGTAACTGGCATGACGGTGGAAGATGAACCGGGCTATATCATAGTCAACAGTCAAGCACGCAGGTCCGTGGCTGTCACACATGGCGAAGTGGCACTAGCTGCTAGCATCCTGAAGTCATGGGGACGGAACCCGACAGGGTTCCGCTGGGAGGCGCACGACTGACGAGACCCAGAAGGTCGAAAAGCCGGCGTCTGGTGTTTATCCAGGCTAACCAAAGCCTGCTGATCGGGAGTGACAATGATGAATTAGCTGAATTCACTGGAAAGCATACTAGTCCAATCCAAACACCGAAAACCGGAATGGCTACATAACCGAGTCAAAGTGTTGTGATAAACGGGTTCCCGAAGATGAATTGCAACAGCAACAGCAACAACAACAATGGGATTCAGCGAAGTGCTGCTGTAATCCTCAGCTAAGGTACAGGAATGCTAAAGAGCCTTGTAATGTACAGAGAAGCATCTTTCTTGTAAACACTGCATGTGGACAAGCGGAAAATACGCACGAAGCAGCTAGCACTCATTAACATAATTTACTTATTCTTTCCAGGACGCACCGCCATCTCGTACTTCTATCGCACAGATCACGTAACCACCAGAACTTAGCCACGTCTCCCTTACTTTCGAGGATGTATTGAAGCGTCTGATGTCATTACACTAGTACTCTTCTAACATACACCCAAACCATTTAAGAGACCTTCCATGAGCCTGACAGAGACGTCATCACTGTTTTCAAGCGCTGTCTTGACGGGATGTAAGTCACAACAATGGGGAAGTGTGGAATAGTCACTCCCATTTACAAGGAACGCGATCCTGCTGTGCGCTCAAACTGCCGTCCGAATCCTCTTCTTCCTGTATTTGCAGCTATCATGGAATCTGTCTTCGCAGAAACACTCATGGGATCTTTAGGAAGGTGCAATGTCATATCGGTGTGCCAGTGTTGGGAAGAACAACACCCAAATATTTCCATTCAGGATCCGGTCCTCGAGATTGGAATGACCGATGTTTACCTCAAAGTGAACCGAGGTCTCAATAGAGGTTGCGGGTCGCAACCCAACCACACAGCGTGTTCTCTAAAGTCAGCTTTGAAAAGCATGATTTCCACCAAAACCGCTTATGTACCATTAAGCATTACTTCACCCGTGCTAGTTGAACGGAATCCGTCGATTCTGGGAATGGATCCAATACCGTCTATCTTGATTTCTCGAAGGCTTGTAATCATGTAGATCACCAACTTTTTCTTTACAAGCTTCGGAGCTATGAGATCGGTGACCCTATCCTGGGCTTTACGCATTCATTTCTATTCTACCGCTGCTTAAATATACGGGTTCGTAGCGCGTTGTCCGACCAAATAGAGTTTTACTGTGGGTGTCTCGAAGCTCAGTACTAGGACCAAGGCTATTCCTAATGTTCATAAACGACCTCGCACGAGTGCTCATCCCAGACTTCCTGCTACTTGTAGATAATCCCAAAATTTTTGGGTAATCAAGTGAGTAGCTGACCACATAACGTTGCAGGGTGCTCTCAACAAGGCTTAGGAGTAGTCGACACAAAATACGCTTAAGTTCGTCCCTACCAGTTGTGAAATAATTAGCCTAAGTCGACAGAACACCTAATAATATTGACTAGCAGAACGTGGTTTACAGCGCCCTGCTCATGAAAGTGATCTTAGAGGGATCGCGAAGGACGTTTTGGATGCTAAATATTGGCGGATAAAACAGATAAAAGCTATCCAGCGCTTATGCCTACTGCAAAGGGTGTCTCGCCAATTGGATTCTAGCATTTTTCGCAAACGCTAAACGTGTACGTAAAGCTTCATTTAGAATACACGATCCAGGTGTGACATTCTTGGCACAACGGAGGGTAACAAAAATGTTAATGGTTTGCTCCACCTTCCTTACCAGTTTAGAATCTAGGTGTTTCCAGTGAATAATATCCTCGGAGAAGTGATCTCATATTTGTGTATCAGATCTTCAAAAATCCTAGCTACTCATACCGAACCTTAGTGAATCTCAGCCACAACACCTCACCGAGCGGCCACCATTTGAAGTTGGCGACACAGTGTAGCTGGTTGGAATGCCGCCGGAACATTTTCCCTATTCGTATATCCCAGACACGGAACTTACATCCGCATTAGTTCATCCCCGCTCCTACTTTATCTAGATTCAAAACTGCCTAATGACGCAGTACACCTGCGGTGCACGGTTTAACTCAAGTCATTGGGCTACGGGACAATGTATCCAAAGCCATGTGTACAAATGACATTTGAGGTGGATCCACCGCCACGGTGTTTTTCTTGATACGCTCGTGTTTGTTTTCACTATTTAACTGTGGATGTTGTTAAGCGTTTGCTTTTTATCCGTGATAGATCTATTGTTCCCGTTTTCCATTAGGCTCTTGACACAGACCGTGAAGTAATATTTTCCCGACGGAGTGTCACCTGGTGTTGACGACAGGCGACATCCTGTGGAAAGTCCCGGTTTTGTGTACACTGTACACCACGCGAGCATTTATGTAATTACAATTGTTATCACTTTTGATACTTTTTATGATGTTTTGTGCAATTGTATTTTGAATAAAACGTGTGGTAGAATCGATGAGTCTACAATCAGAGTTGTGCTGCTGTCAGGACAATAGAGAAGCGCCGAACACGATGACGCAGATAGAATTGCCAATAAAAGCGATCATAATTTTAAATAAGAGGTTGATGTTAGCCACTTGTCGCGTTCTAATGCAGCCTCAATGGGCAAAGAAGACGCTGGTGGACTTAGTGACTATTAGTACATTCATAAAGACAAGTAACCTAAGTGGCTAAAAGCTCCATGTGTCGATAAATGTGCAAGAGCTTCAAGATAAGATGCTTTAAAGTTTCTTCCCAGTGCAAGTTCTTGTGAAATGGTTAAGATACTTCGGTGCACCAGTAAGCCTATCACAAGTGTACAGTCAGCGCATCACCGAAAAGCAATGTGAAGGTTATCACAAAACTGTACTAGTGGCCATTATGGAACGATGGATTTTGTCACATAAAGCGGGCTGGACAAAATTGCCTAAAAGAGCTACAAACAGAATGATAACGCTATCGTGCTTTTCTTGCTGTGAGTTTTCTCGCAAAGAACATTCAGGATTGACGGCAGGCATGATCTATGTGCACATCCTGAAGCGAACGAAAGTACGTTAGGAGAATTAGACTTTTTCCACCTTTATCTGGTCGGAATATTTGAAAATGTGAGTTATTTTAAGCAATCAGATACCGGTAGCTTGACGATGCGATCAAACAAAATACATAAATTGCACGGAACGTCCGCTGTCATAATGGCAGTGTCAGCAATGTTGTTCCATAGCCACATCTTTGACGCCTGCCAGTACCATCACTTGCCCTGTCGTAAGTCATTTCTATGGTGTGGTTCATGTCGTGTGTCAAATGAAAACATGGTGAATAGTGACAACACCATGACATCAGATGCGCACGTGGTCAGCCGAGCTTCTGGTCATCGATAGTTTCTTTACTTTAATCCACTGGCAAGGTTGTCAATGGGCTAACACGTTTACGGTGTTCTCTCGGCACCGAAAACCTACTGCTATTATTATGAAGTTATCACTAATATCAAATGAGTATCGCCATGTGACAGATTCTGTTTTCTGTACAATACAAGGCTGACGAAATCATCAGTAAGCTTATTTCGTCAGCCTTGTATTGTTCCGGGTATGTTTGTCATAGTATCGTCTGGTTAAGCATAGTTAGTCTGGATCCTTATCCTACCGCATGCCAGCTGACCACATGCTCACACTGCCAATTCGATGGGCACTGCGCTGAATCACTGCCCAAGTAGCTAAGTTTTCACCTTCTTTATTGCTTTACGTAGGCTCCGGAGCTCAGGAAGCCATATTTCCACCAACAAGTGCACATGAGTACAGCCAGCGCTTCCCGTGCTTTCGGAGCTTAGCGTTTTGAAAGAATAATTTGGAGCTCGAGCTGATTGCGAATGACCTGCTTACTTGGCTGACTTTGTTTGTCATGAGAGTAAAGTTAAGTTACACTCGCCTTACCATTTGTTTTGATCGCCAGCTGTCTCATTACCTATTAGTTGCAATCTAATCTTTCAACACCATTCACTCACCCGAAAGAAACGGCTATTCATGTTTCTAAGCAAGGAAGATGGTCAGGTGTTTTGTGTGAACAACCTTGCGTTGAACAACTTTCCTGAGTCGTCCAGGATGGGAGTTGGAATGTAAGAACTAGTTAATTATCACACAGGCAACGCATGGGTGAATATAATGATGGACATCACGACGTTCCAGATGTGCATCTTGATCATGAATGGATGCATACCGTTATTTGTGAGGCGAAGTGGAGAGCTTTAATGTCATAGTTAAAGCCAACACCTCGGAGTTATGCAGTGCTAAAGCCAGCAACTTCCAAGGAACTATGCTGCCACTAACATACGTGTTAACAACGTATCGTAGTGGTCCACCGTTTTTAAAAGGCGAAGCCTGTCGTTTCCTGCGTTTCAGCATGATCACAGGTTAGTGGTCAATGGTATATTGCGGATAAAAAAGCCGAATCTTGACATGTCCAGCCGGATGATCGGTTAAGGGTAAGCAAAATAAAGGCAAAAATGGCAATAGAAAATAGTGAACAAGCGCAAATTGCGAACTTGCCGATTACCTAGTTCCCGTCCGTTTTATGTACTATCCAAGGTTATCGTCTGTGGTTTCCAGACAAAAATGGAAGTGCGTAGGTTTGTTTTTGTTTCTATGCGTCGTTTGGAGTACGTGATATAGTGTAGTGTGACCAGTGCACTGTCGACACGTGCTTTGAACACGGCTAACGTGGGGCCTGAAATAACAGCTTCTGTGAGGGTATCCCACGTGTGCCAAACAAGCAGCGAGAAGTAGTTTCTTCGACACTCCAGCCGACTGTATTGTTCTGCCAAGGTAAGATGATAACCCCTCAGTTGGCTGTTGTGACTCAACTTCAATAGGTGATGGTAGTGGTGATTAGTGTTGTTTACTATTTGATAAGCCATGACTAGGTCACCACATAAACGGCGCTAATGTCAGCTGAAAATGCCAAGCACTCTGAGGCGCTGTTCGTAGGACAAGTGGCGCCACCCCTTGACGTCTTTGGTTGCCAGACGTTAAGGAAACTCCAAGGCTAGGAGATGCCGCTTTAGCCGTAGACGCGATGCTTGACTTGCCTATTCAACATGAGGGTGTACATAAGCGAGAAGTATTTGACGGAAAATCGCAGGTTCGAATTGCCCGAAAGTTCTCCGTAAAAGCCTCACGAGTTGAATCCTCGTCTTCGATGACTTTCTGGACTGCTCCGAGCAGCCTAGATCTTCTTGCACCAGCACGCCAAGTGTTGCAGATTCTGGCCCCCCAGATTATATGTGTGAACCGTTCGGTGTTCTCAAGGGAGCACTAGACATTTAGCCACATCGAAGAAAAGGTGATTTTGGACCGACCATCTTTAAGTCTTGTCAAGGTCGATTTGAAGCTGGACGCAGTCTTCTGGAGCTCTGATCACTCGCCAAACTTTGATGTCATCGACGTAGTGTAAACAGTTTGACGCTCTTTGACTCACTAGATCGTTTAGGTGAACCAAGAATAGACGGGGCCCCAGCGCCGAACCCCTTGGCGCACCGTATTCGACATGAATTGGATCTGACATGGATCCATGTACTCTCACCTCCAGAAGCCTGTGCGAGAGAAAATTACAGATCCATCCGAAGAGAGGGTCCTCAAGGTCATATCCTTGATGTTTGTTGAGAAGGTTACTATGGTTCAATTGGTCGAATGCCTTAGATAAATCAAGGTAAGCCAAATCAGCTCCTGTATCAGCATCCACAGTTTCGGTCCAGCTGTCTCGTGCTAACAATAGGTTGGTTGTGCAAGACCGATTCTGGCGGAAGCCGTGTTGCTACTGAGCAATGTAACCAAAACCGTCCAGGTAAGACATGAATGCGTCGGGCAATGCTAGCCTCCATAACTTTTGAAAGAACTGGCAGTCGAGTCACTGGCCGATAATTAACTGGGTCGGAATGACTACCCCCTTTGTAAAAAGGAGTAAGTATTCCGTGTTTACTAATGAGCTGGAGGACTTTTTAATTGTAATCGTAATGTTTTCGTCCCAGCTGCTCACAAGCTACATAGTACAGCCTAGTCCGGAAAAGCACCAGACGCTTTTCGCCTTATTGGGGCTCGTCAGTGGTGCGCATTCCCTCGGTCCCCTACTGGGGATCGAACCCATGACCGCTAGAGGCAGATGACAACTAACCAGCAACTTAAGCCACTGAGCCACGGGGGACATCGGATGAGCTACACTGTTTGCAAGCTAACTTGGACGTACCACGACGTATCTTCCATTGCCGCGCAGCTTACTACCCTAGCAGATGACAGTGGCTAGCCACCAAAGGTCATGACTCCCTCTCACTAGACGCCATGTCCATAGTATTTGAAACTAGGGGAGGTTATATGTTATATTACTATTATTATATTGTATAACATTATACACAATATGTAATATGTATAGTATATATTATTTTATATGATTGTTTATTACTATTCCTTGTTTCCACGTTGTAGGAACGTGCTGGAACAGCCGCGCCAAAGGTTCTGCCAAAATAGTAGCCGCCACAGCAAGCGTCGTTGGGCGGATGTCGTCAGTTTCTGGACAGGCGTACAGGCGCATGGATAGCAGATTTCTCATCACGATGTCCGCCGTAAAATTTATATGAGTGAGTCCTGGTGTGGGCACCATAGATTCCAAAGATTCAGGAGACCACGTGATGAAATGGAACGTTGGTGCATATTGTTGTTGCAGAACATTCGACACTGCTTTAGCAGTCGGAGTTAGACCATCCGGTGTTTGAAGAGGGGGAAATCTACTTCTCAACTTGCGGAGGCTGTTCACGTGCTTGTACAGAAGTTTAGGATTTGAAGTTAATCGCTCAGCAAAATCATGATGATAAGCTACTTTGGCCTCGCGCATTAATTGCGTACAATGGTTACGATGGACAACATAGGCCTTCCAGGTACTCGGAATCTGATCGGCTTTTTGGGTATACCCCGCCGCGTTGCGCATCATCATGCGTTTGTGTCTCCTACTCTGTATAAACGACGCCACGTTTTTCGATTTGATAGTGTTGGTTTACGATGTTCCACTAACTCAGGTGTTAAGCTTACTGACAAAACCTTCCCAGGCAATATCGAGTGCATCCTCGGTTAGGAAACTCCAGTCGGGTTCTTCAAGGAGTCGGGTTAAGATGCCGTAACTGATTACGGTTCACGTCGTTTAAGTGCTGTCCTCCGGATATTCAGCATAGCAAGTGCACATGAAATGCAAAGTTGCATCATCACTGCGGCGTAGAGGAGTATCGATTATCACTTGACCATCAGTACTTCATTAGTGAATATTCAGTCTAATATGGATGGCCAGTTATTTTCCCTGAATCTGGTGGGCGAACTAACGGAGACATAAAGCGGAAAATCTGATACAAGATCTTGCAGTGCTGCTTTGAATTACTGTCCTGGTGTGATCTGGCATTCTAAGGCATGTAACTTGAAAGCGCCGGCGACTAGAATGTGACTGTACTTCCTGTTTATCACCTGTCTCAATGCAGCCACCCAGTTGAATTTCATCTCAGATGTAGACGACGGTGGGCGGTAAACAACAGCGACTAGGACAAGATCGTCCCTTCTCAGCCAGAAGCTGCACCAAATGGAGTCAGATACATCGGTTTCCGAATCATGTATGGATTCGCGCTGCACGTTGTTAAGAAATTAGACGGCTACCCCACCACCTTTGCTGGCTCGATCATTCCGGACAACGGACATACCCAAGCTGCTGACGCGTGTCGAAGTCTTAATTCAGCTAATTTGATGAGTAGACCTTTGGCATTTTTGTACATGCATGAGAGTTTCTCAGAGATCAAAAGTGTGTTGGATGGAATGGATGAGGCAAGTGAGTTTACGCCGACTGATGTATGGTTGGCGGCTTCCCGTTTTTTAGTTGGGTTGCAGACGCTTGAGACGAAATTAGTATGTATCCAAGTATCAGATGCCCCGGCTCCTGGTCTTTGCTCGTGCTCTGTTGTGTCCCTCCGATGTTACGGCTACGGTTGAAACCGTCACCGAGTCAGGTCCTACAGTTGGTACTTTTATTGAGAGTTGCGCCTCCATTGATTTGTCATTTGAAGGTGGTGGTGCTCCTGCTGCTTTCGGACGAATGTCTGTTGGCAACCTGCCAAGGAATTTAGTCCAGTTCTCTAGAAGAGCTTGTACCGTTAGTTCTGATTGCAACACCAGTTTCAACAGCCTGGGACCGCACCTCTTGTAATTAGGTGGTACGGTGATCCTTGTCAACGAGGTGGCCACGACCGTTTTGAGAGATAGAGCCTCACGGACGTAGTGCCATTGCTGCCGGTTGTATACCTGCACATCGTCGGAAGAGGAATCAGTAAGCTCATGAACACCGGGAGCAATCACAGTTTTCTTGACTTTTTCTGTTCCTCTCCCTGTTAGTGGGATCCGCTGTACGTTCTTTCCACAGGAGTTCAGATAGTATACGCACTCCACTCGAGGCGTTACGGAGTCGATTCGCAGATAGCAAAACGGCCTATGTCTCATCCACCGAGTTTACTGTTACCCATAGTAACCGGAGTTCACGGTAGTGCAATGCGTTTGGGTGACGCGAGATGTGTTTTAACGTCGTGCGATTAGCATTAACACCAATCGCCGCACAGCGGGAACTTCATTGATTTCGATCATCTGTCAGCCTACCCTTAATTGTATTGGATTTGGATTCGAGGGCATTAGTGCACA